TTTAACTGCACAAGATAAATAGCTAAATTATAAGGCATTTAATGGTACTATATTTTGAACGCTACATACTCTGGCTTATATATTTAGTACAAAGGTATCTGTTCATTGCAGTGTGTCCATAGGAGAAAATGTTACAATTACCACTTTTCCTGTTAAGCAGAAATTATTATAGGAGCTTAAAACTTAGCTGACACTTTGGGAATGATTCATGGATGCAACTGTGGTTGCCCAGTGCCACTTTAGATGCCTTAGGGTATTATACTCAGCTTCCAGCTGCCAGGCCAGGAGGAGGCAGCTCTCCTGAAGAGACAACACATCTGCCAGATCACTGCAGGTGTCCCAAATACCCTGGGGCACCTAAAATATTTACAGACATTTATGCACTGGCTCTTCAATTGCAGTAACTTTGTTTCTTTGGTTCTAACTCTGAAAGACTAACGGGAGGTAGGGAAAAGAGCATGAAAACTGAAAGCTTCCAAGCAGCTTTCCCAAGTTTTCCCATTCTCAGAGTGACTGTGCTGTGGCTTGGAAGAGAAAGAGAGCTCACAACCCCAGAAGGAAGTAATGAGCTTTAAAATATAAATATGGACAAACTAATATCACAGGTTATTTTGGTAAAGTAAAACAGAAAGTAAGACTTTATAATGGGGAAGAAAAGCTCTTAGCACATACACATTGGAATGAGACCTTGGATATTTTGAGTTCTCATTCCTCGTTGTGCCACAGACATCTCCTGCACTTCAGCACGTCCCTCGCTGTCTTGGGATCTGTCCGTCTAACGCTCACCATTTTGTCCCTTCTGCTGGAATAATAAAGAATAAAGGCCTTGCTCGTGTGGGCTCAGCAGCACGTTAACGTGGCCACATGGGATATGGATCTGAGTGGGCTCCGGTCTTGCCAAGTCACTGAGCAGGAGAAGGGAGCTGCCTCTGTCCAAGAAGCACCAATGTGGCCATGGCCAAGATAGCCAGCGGGAAGCGATGCTGCTCCACTCCGGAACAGGCTCAATCTTAGCACAAAATAAAGGTCAGCAGGCACAATAAGCAGAAGTAAGCCAGGATTTCCTGCCCACAAGCAAATACTCAATATTTAACCTTGCATTAAAGGTTATTATGCCCTAATGGCAACGAGCTTGTTGCCACTTTTCTCTAAACATTGGTAGGAATTATTCTGATGCATCTATTTACTGTAAAAGGAATTAATTAGTTGTACATGATCTTTGCTATTTAAGCTCTCAAGAAAAAGTGAGAAAAAATATTTACGGAAAAATAAGCTGTATCCCAAATTATTTAAATTCCATTGATAGGTTACTAATATAAATAGCATGGTTATATGTTGTACTATAGTACAACTATACTATAGCTTACTAGAGTAAAAACAAAATTTGCATTAAGAATTGTCTTTATTAAACAGCTAGTCTTAGCTGGGAAAAAAAGGTCCAGTGGGACCAGGAACGGGTCCAGCAAAAGTTTATCCCTCTTGTCCTGAAAACTTGACTCCAACAGTGAGTGTGATCAAAGATCTTCTTCCTATAATATTTGCCTCTCTGATTTCCTTTGACTCTTGTGGCAATGATGACATTATTACAAATTACTATTATAATAAGAGATTTCTACTTTTTCTTTAATAACATTCCAGAATCTGTTCAGTATACTTAAGTGGTGCACACTATTTAGAAGGGGACAAATACTGATTTACATTTCTAAGTGCCTTGTAACATAGAGAAGACAGTGTCAATGTGAGAATCTGTAGGGACTGGGATATGGCTTGGAGGATGGAGCGAATAATCGTGTCACTTTTAAGCTTGTATGATCTGTTGCCATAGAAAAAGGTTAGAGATCAACAAATTCTGACTTTAGTTCAGTAATAAATGAAGGTTGGCCAGGGTACTAAGTTTCTGGGGGAAAGCATTAGCCGGTATGTACAGCAGCAGCCTCTGGTGGTCTAAGAAAAAATGTTAGGTAGTATCTATAAGTAGGGATAGAAACACGGTTTTCAAGAGCACGCATGTACATATTTAGCTATTTGCTTCAATTCTCAATTCAACACATTAAAAAACAGATGCTTTAAAAAATGGTCTGCTGGCAATATGCTTGTTAAAATCTGAACAGAAAGAATATTAAAATCCATTATACATTCATTAACACACTATATAAAAGTAAAATGTCTTGGTTTAATCATTCTATAAAGTATTGTGGCCAGTGTTGATAACCCAGAAGCTTTTTCTTTGCTTTGCATTGCTCAAAAAGAAACCAAATTTATAAGGCTGTTACTGAATTGATGACATTTTCTGTCTTCACTCTTGAATTCAGTTGGCAGATGTTTTCAAGAACAAAAAATTCTGTCTTATTACAAAACATATTAAGCAGGTTTTTCTGCCATAATGTTTGACATGATGTTTATTGCCCAGACCAAATCAGCCCCTTTAACAAGCTTTAATGTATGCCAGAAAGTACATTATTTCATAGTTAAGGAAACCCACAGCATGAAACAATAAGAGCTTTGATCTTTCAAGCACTATGCACTATGCGTAATACACTACACACTCTGATAGTCATTTTTATTTATATTCATTTTGTTTGAAAACACAGCATAATTTGAGGTTTTTTTTCTTATTTTAAGGTTCTGCTCTGATTTTTGAATACCTCAAGTGTTTGTATTTTTCTACGAAAATAAAGAAAATTCTAAAAGAATAATGGAAAAGAGACATTCATCAAAACCTTGGAAAGTCTAACTATGTAAGGAAAAGCATCAACCAGACACATGAAAGGCCCTTCCTCATCAGATCACAACCAATCTTAACAACCCTAAGCATAAGGAAACACAACAGGGGTTAACTATTTCTACCTATCAACAGTCTTAAAAAATTTCTCCAAGGTAATCTTCCTTTAACATTAGATGCTGTGGATACTTTCTCTTGGTCCATATTTTCACTTCAGTGCAGGTATTTGCCACAGGCTTGTGAGGAACCACGGTTTTCACCTAGTCTCTTGGCTGCAGTTTGCCATTCTTGGCCAAGTGACTGAAGGCTTACTAAATGGTTTCAAAAATATTTAATGATATTACTACCAAAGTAATATCATCCTCTATCATTTCTTTGGAGTAACAGTATGGTTTTTTTTCTGAAGTTCCTCAACAACCCACTGAGTTGAAGGCAGCCTATACCACAGAAAAATACAGAATTCAAATCTGAACTGCCGTTTAAGAATACTGACCCATAGCCAGCTTCAATACTGCACCTCACAATAGCCTATAGCTAAGATAAACCCAGAAGCAAGTTCCAGCACAGCAAATGGTGCCCCCAACGTAGCCTCCCTCCCCCCCCCCAAATCAAATCCAACTAAAACCTGGAATACAACATTAGTTGCCTTGGAAAAGGTAATTTCAGTTAATTTGTCAAGGAAAGGAGACTACCACACATACTTTCAGTAAAACATACTCTATTCATCTCCTTGGTTTGAAGACGCTAAAGGGAATGGCAACAGTAATTGTTAAGGCGTATATTCACATAAGAAAGAAAACAGTATGGAGCTAGGTGTTTTATATTTTGGGAGTCAAATCTCCTGAAGCCAAATTTCATGCCCCCTCAGGCAAGGGATCCACAAGAGAGCGGACCGGGTAGGAAAGGTTCCCTTTCAGCATGGGGGCACAAAACTAGCATGCTGATTAGCTGCATTTCTGCAGCACACAATATCCACTAGCTTCAGGAGCGCCTTCATACGAGCCTGGTTTTCTCTCCGAAAGGGCAGGGACCTTTGCTCTGCCATTGCTGGCAGGATGGCTTATCTCCTAAACAGCTAGTAAGTGCCCTGTTGATAACTTTGAACATATATATGTGTGTCCTGTTGTCTCCCATACTCAGTAGTGAGATGTTCCTCAAAGGACACAATAATATTTTATGATATTAATCACGCTCACAACCAGGCTACAACTCTTTTAGCCAGACAGTAAAACTGCCCTTCTCCTATAAATTATTGTTATTTTAAGCTACAGTTATTAGGAACACATTAAAAATTTAAAATTATTCTAATGTCTGTTTTGCTGGATTTTTTTAAATCAATTCCACACAAGAAAAGCACTCACATTTTTAGCATTTTCACTGCACTGTGGCATTTCTGACATGGTTTTTTTTTTTTTCATGGTCTGAAAATGCTCCCTTTTCTAACAAGGGCTTTGGAAACTGCATGACTCAGTCTAGAATGGAAATGCATAGTATGTATACGAAGCAGGCTGTGTCAAAGTGCAAATAATATTGTTTGTGCCCCCTGCAGAAGTAGAAATCCTCGGGTAGCGCTGTTATAACGATCCCATGCTGGTAGCATTACAAAGTGCAAAGGTTAACTGAGAAACAAAAGAGCAATGGACAGAATTTCATCATTACACCATTCGCAAACCATTCCAGCTTAAATATTTATTAATATCTTAATAACTCTCCGCCTTTATCTGCCTTCAGATATTTAGCTGTAACACAATGTATGGCGGCTCATACAGAAACAATACATTATAGGGTAGATCAGCTGCCACACAAGATGAATATTGCCGTTTTCTACAATACACTATTAATTCAGCAGGTAATATGTTAAAAAGTATCAGGCTATAACTACTGAGTTTCTAGTATAAGATAATATAATACAATGGCACGTTGTGAAACTATTTCACCTAAGCTGTTGTGGAAAATGTTTTACGTATACCTCTGTTTAAAAAATAATTTTTACAAAGTCTCCCTTAAATCATTCTCTGTCTCCATAGAACCAATGAGTTTCTCCGGGATTTATTTGAAGCCCCACTTTGAAATTAGAAAGGAATGTTTTGTAACTCTTCCAAATCTTCACGTTCATTAAAAGACAAAAAATAAAAAGCCAGACACTATGAATGTACTCCTGAATGCCAACTAAAGCAATGAGTTTATGTTAAAAAAAAAATAAAGGGCATACTAATGCAAATGGTAAACATGTATCTCCACAATTGAAGAAAGACAAACAAAACTAAAAGGGACTTACTCTAATGTACATCTGCACTGTTTCTTTTTCTTTTTGGGGATTTCGATATTTTTCGTAGAAGTCACGTCGCTTCTTTGTTTCCTTCTGGATTTTATCTTTTCTTTCTCTCTTTTCTGCAGGTTCATCTGAGCTATCAGAAGACAGCTGTACTTGGGCTTTTGTCTTCTCCACTTCAATATAGTTCTCATTGGGATTCAGTACTATTACTCCATAGCCCTCCTGTTTTAGAAGAGACAAAAAGAGGAATATGAAAAGGGAGATTTAATACTTGAAAATGCTTTGAATCTACTTTAATGCTCTTAAGAATGTGTATGTTTATTTCAGTAAGCTCACACAACATAATTTTCAGACTATTTTAAGAACATTCTGTTTGATTCATTTTTGTCCTTAAAAGAATATGGATGTGTGACTATATGTTTGTGCACGCCTTTATGCATAAACACATCCCTCAGCATCAGAAAAGCTGCCTGTTTTACCTTTAATATAATTTAATATACCGTTGTTATTCATAAGCACATTATACGACTTTTTCCAGGAAAAAAAAAAGTACCAGAACTAAAGCAAAATATTATTATACAAACTCCATAGAACGATGAATACAAAGGGTTATGCTCAACCAATAAAAACCTTTATAACAGAAAGGATGGAGTGATTTCATGTATATATAATATATATAAATTACATAAAACTATTCAGCACAATTTAAAATAGCAAAACCTTTTGTCTCGCTGACACCAAGCATACCACGCACAAACCAATGCTGGCAGCCACAATGAATCTCTACCAGAACAGATTCACTGCTGCTGCTTACAAGTCAACTCTCTTACTGTGCGGATGACTTTTAAGTACCTCTTTAAATCTGCTCGAAAACTTCATTGGGATTATGTCCTGCATTCAAAAACACAGGGAAAATTTGTGATCTGCGGGATGCTTTTGAAAATACCAGCTGCATTTTTGTGCCTCGGAAAATGGGCTGATTGAAAAACACAGGAATTTATGAATGAGAAATAAACCCTGAATTAATCAGCTCATTATTTTATTATGATTTTTAAATGATGGCAACCCTTATAACAATTGTATTATTTGTGAACATTATAATCGGAAATGCAGAGCGAGAAGAGAAGCACATGCATTTAACAGATGAGTCCTTAAAGTTCCTATGGCTTCCAACGCAACCCAAGCTGTCTCGCAAAAGCGACTTTGGAAATAAAGACTTGCTTTTTGAAAACATCTATATTAATTCCCTAACCAAAGAGCTTCATCCTAGCTGTTTATCTGATGCTTAATTTTACATTTAGCCTAGGCCCGAGGATCAAAGTCCTCCACATACCTATCTCGACCGCAGTAAACCAACTCTACACCCCAACAAAAGATACTTTATTTGGCCTTGCTTTATTCTAATCTGTAGAGCCATTCAAAAACCTTGTAACGCATTGTGACCACTGTCAGGTAGACAGATTGGCACTCGGTGATTTTCTACAGTTGGACACACTCGGCTAGTTATTAAAATCACATTTGAAGGAAGCGCCTACCCCTCTCTCCCTTGTGCCGGCCCAACTTTTCACGCCCTCCTCAAATGCCGGCCGGCGCTTCTCCTCCCACCGAAAGGAGGTTGAAGGACGCTGTTGCACTCGGCTAACCAGGGTGAAACAGCGGCATTCAGCGCACTGTCTCTGCTGGGAGGCACATAGTCAAAAAGGTCACCGCAGGCCAAAGAGAAAATTGCCTCCTTACTAGACTCGGGGCCATGAGTAAGTGGTCTCCTGTCATGTCTCTTCCTGGCCTCCCTACCCAGTGAATTGAGTCAAAATAAATAAATAACTGAAAGCACCAAGCCAGGGCGGGCAAGCAAAGAGAAACGGCAAACAAAAAGAAAGCGGAGCTCGGATTTTGCCCACGCCGTCACTTCACACAGGGCTCTCTAGGAGCTGTGCGAGCCCAGGCGCCCCGGATGCGAGTGGGATTTGGGAGCGCGCCGACCGTCGCGCGGCTCTGAGCTCGGCGACTCCTTGCGGGAAGCGCTCGGCGGCCCAAGCGGGAAGGAAGCCTTTGTGCGCTGCTCATCTTCCTGGCCCGCTCGCTTGGAACAGAGACGTTCTGGGTATTGATCCCTCCTGCTTTCCATGCGCCGCCCAACGCAAAAACTTTGTGTGTTTATTACGGGCTCACGCGTGTTGAGGGAATTTGAAGCTCGGCACTTGCTTGAAGCTCACCGCAAAACAGACACATAAATCATCAAAGAAGTAGAATTTGTCTAAGTTATTGATTATGTAACTGAAAATTACATGACTCATTTGTCCAATTTTATGAGGACACAATGTCAATTTTTCACACAGACACCAACAGATGAAATATGATTCCATTTTTAAATTCCCTATTTCGTAAATCAATTAAAGTTTTTTTTTTTTTACCAATTACATTTTAAGCAGTATAATGCGTCTCCCTTTACAAATTATTTTTTTCCAAAGCAGCAGGCTCTTCCTGCCAGCACAATTGCAATAATTAAGGGATAACTGAGAGCATTTTTCCTGAAACTGAGGAAAAAAGATCTTCTTACAATTTTGAAGATTTTTTCTTAAAAAAAATCTATTTTCATATTGTTTGGCTTAAATAATGCGTCTATTTTCCTCTACCTTTCCACCTTCAAGAACTACTGCAGCCTAAGCTGCAAGATTTAAACAACAGCACCAGAAATGAGAGTAACTTGTACAAAGCAATATGGAGAACCTAAACAACTGTTAAAATATAACCGCACTTGTTCTGCTTTAATCAAACATACATTTTCTATTAAAAAGTTATACTTGGCCCTAAATAACTTCCAGGTAAAGCATGTGGTTTTTAAGATCTATTTATGTTTAGAAAATACATATCACCATTAAACTCACAAACCATTACCACAAACCATTGAACTTATAAGCATATAAACATTAAAAACTCCTACCATATTTTAGAGAAAGTTCTTTAAGAAACATTAGTAACTATGATCATTATCACTACGATCACTCAGATCTGTGATCTTTGAAATTACTTTTAACAAAGGCTGAAATCCCATTCATTAAAACCTACTTTTCTTAATGATCTTCTTCAGAAGTATGTGTGTCACAATGTTATTGAAATATTTCAATTTCAGTTATGATGAGTTTATAGTAGTATTAAAATGTTGAACATAGTAAGCCTTCCTATATCTAAATAAGGTTGGCCTGGAAAATTCTTACAGTTTCTTATCATTTGTAAACAAGAGATATGCATTCAACATAAATAATAGTAGGCCCTAGAAGGAGAAACTGCCATGTAAAGTGCAAAGTTATTTTACAGTACAAAGCTAAACTCGGAGGAGAAAGAGGAAGAGAGAACGTCCACAGATGTTCAGCTGAGCAAAACAAGCCAAAGTCAGTGGTCTACCATGTGGTCTACCTCAGAGGAGGCAAATGTTATCCAGACATCAAAATCGGTTTGCATCACCCACTAGTACATCTGCCATGAGATGCAATGCTCAGTACAAACACTGATCAACCTCAGTTTCATCCTCTAATGAACCAGTTTCGCTGGATATCCTTATGGTTTCTCTCTCAAACTAGAATATTCTGTTAACAGATAATTCTTTGAATTCTAATGCTTCAAGAGAAGCTAAGAGGAAAATATAATCTACACTATCTAGTAACTTTCTCCAAGTAGCTACTTCCCATAGCAGAAGATTGGATGCAAACTCTGCTTTCAGGTTCAAAAATAGTTACAAATAATACTTGTTTTATGATCTAGTCAGCAAATTATGACAAAAAGGAATCAAGCTAAAAAAGTCAAATGTTGGAAAGAATCACAAATATCACAGACTTGAGAGGTAATACCTTCACTACTAAGTCATGAAAATGCGGAAAAGCCTTATTCACAGGAGCAAGCAAGTCACAGTTGTAATGGCGCTTTGGTCTCTTACTGGAAGTTTGAGTGAAATGTTATAAACTGAAGAAATATCAAAATTCTTGCCTCATACAATAAGAGTAAGGTCAAAAACAACAACAAAACCCCCAAACTCTAAAGTAAGTAAATTCTTGGGAAATCTCTTCTGCCTGGCCAAATGAATAATGCGCTGGGAGCACTCAGCTCTGCATATTAATCCACCGAGATGGGACACCATATGTGACCGGGGAGGTCAGGGGCTGGAGTGGGATCTTTGACCTACGTCACCGTCTTTTCGGAGCGCAAGCGAGGCTCTGAAAGAGATCATTTTCCTAAGCCGCATCAACCTGATTTTTCAAGTTCAGATTTCTATTTAGATGGCTTGCAGCAAGATCAGAGTTAATCCCCGAGGGAAACACAACTTGAAGTGGTTAGATCTTAAACCGGGCCGTGGTTAAAATGGACACGGCCACGTCCATTCATCTTTTTGAGAGATATATGTCCCGTTTATTTCCCATCTTTTTCCCCCCCCCCCCACGAGAAGGGTACATATATGTCACTGTTGCGACATCCTAGGTGCAACAGCGGGATGAGGTCATGACAACCAATCAGAAGTCACCAGCGAAGCGTTAAAGTAAACATAGCTGTTGGAGATGCCGCTCCGCTTGAAAAATGCCCCCTCCATTATTTGAGCAATTTTCTCAAGACGTGACCTGAGACTGAAACGCCCGCATGTCACTTGACTCCGGTTGCTGCTTCCATCCAACGTGCATCTTGGCCAGCGTGCCCTGCTAATCCTTTGCAATATTTTCATCCCAATATTCTGCACCTCTGCTCATAGCGCGCCGAAATTCCAGTGCGGTGTCCAAGGGTGGAAAAATGCCGCGGCGCTGCCAAATGCACATTGTCCCAGCAAGTCCCTGACTTAAAATAGCTCCTCAAGCTAGGCAGGAAAAGAAAACATGCCACAAAAAGTTTTTAGAGGACCACCTGTTGTCTATTATTTTTACATAGCACTTACTCATAAATCATAACACAGGGTAATTAATCAAGCTGTCAAAGAGAAGGTCAAAGGTGGCAGGGGGGCAGTCAGAAGGTCGCGCCTGGGCTGATAGAGGTCAGGGTCACACCGCATTCCTCATTATCAAGTTGGGATGAGAGACGGCCCGAGCAAACAAAAGTGAAAGCAGATGGAAAAGTGAGTGGATAAGAGAAAAAAAGAGAGAGAGAGAGAGAGAGAGAGAGAGAGAGAGAGAGAGAGAGAGAGAAGAAGGAAATTTCACAAACAAAAAGAAAAGTGAAAGAAGAATGTCAGTTGCCTTCAAATGAGGAGGAGAATAGAGCAGAAATACATTGAGATGTTCTCAAAAGGTCTCACACAAGACAAAGAAACTACAGTTTGATTACTTAAACACAATTATACAACTTTTTTTTTTTTTTCCATCTGATCTTTTTGCAGATATTAAGCCTCACTGCAAAATGGATATGTTAGTTTTGGTCTCCTTTTGCCGTAGAAGCCAATGCTTTCAAGGTGAATCAGGCAAACGGCACCCATCACTGTGATGAATGCCGATGGATACATAAAATTGCCTCTAAATGCTGAAGTTTATTCCTCTTCATGGCTACAACCAATAGATGTTCAATAAAAAAGTTATAACCTGTTTGAAAGATGTATTAAGAACTATACTTTCATATACACAAAATACTCTGAAGCACAAAGCATCATAAAAGTCTCCCTGGATGACACAACCGTTATAGAATATTTTATCATTACACTGACCTGAATTAGATGCAGAATACTGTGCAAAATTAGCTGTCACCCTTTCCTCAAAATCTTTGTTAATCTCATTTTGAATGTTTGCAGCTTTATCAACACATGCATCAATGTCAGCTCCTTGGTTACTGAACCGCTGTACTTGGAAGAAGATATAATTAAAATGTTTTGGCACAGAAAAGGTGAAATTGTATCTTCCCCTGTTCCCTGAGGAGTCTGTAAAACACGTAGGATATATTGACAAACACACACCCTTGCCTAGAGCCCTGACACCCCAGGTCACCCAACTGCTATTTATTTCAAAACATTCACTTTACACTTACCCAAACTGTCACCTGCTGTGTTACTAACTTTTAATGGATATTAGAGCTATAAAAACAATAAACTCTTCATTTCCTTTCTGTTACTGTGTTCTAATTCATCAGTGAATTAGGTCCATATCTATTTGCAAGCTGAACTGTATTCATCTTATTTCACATAAATCATGCCATTAATACGTTTTACTGTGCCATTTGTTAATTTGGGTGTTAGCACAGCTATACAAGAAAAATCAATGTTCAAGGCTTAAAAAAAACCCCAAAACTCACCAGTTAAGCTGTTATTACATTTTAGTTTCACTGTTGAAAAGTTTTGAAAAGAATTCATGCTTTGCATCTATCTATAATTAGCAACCCAAATATGTCTATGTGCAAGATTGGTAGTTGTGTTTTAACATACTTGTTCCCAAGGCCAAATATGAACAAACACATCTACATAGCCCAAGCATTTCACTCTCCTAGTTATATACTGTGTTCTTGATATGAATCTTCTGTGCCTTTTTAAAGCATTGTCTCATTTCATCATTCTTTTCTTCTTTCTCACGGTGAGAATTTTTTTTTTAAAGCTATAGAATAAACTTTATTCTGTGCATTAATAAAAAAACCCATTATGTTCACGTTCAAATACTGCTTCAAACATTGCTTGATAAACCCCAACCTCATCACCTCTCCCTAATGCGAGACTCAGCCTTTCTAGCAGAAATCACTGGAGGCTGAATGGAAGGGAATTCACCCCAACCACACAGGCAGCATAGAGGCCTGCAAATAATCCTCCCCTAATCACTATCTAGCCTGCAATAATGCTTTCTGCTCCTCTTCACTGAGTACGTACAACTTTGGGGTCCAAATGCTCTGCCAAAGAATGAATTCAACAGCTGCCCCCAAGGCCCGGCACCTTTCAGTGATACCTTAGAGGACCTGGTTTCTATCCCTCCTGTAATTAAAGCCTGGATTCTGAAGGCTTGATCCCCTCTGCTTTGAAAGCGTTGTATCCCATGGAAGCTTCTGCAATTTTTTTTTGTAAGAAAAGAGAATAAAAGAACCGCGTGCGCATTTTACTTGTTTGAGATTTTAAGGAAAAGATTACTCACATTTATGCAGAATTCAACGTTTTGAAAGCAATGTACCAGAAACAGAATGGTAATCAAATATCTTCATAAAAGCCCACACAAGTAATTAGTAATTATCAGGTCTAATTTACAAATAGGGAATCCGAGGGGGTTGAAAATTACTCTCTGAAAGTTAAGCTCAAATAAGGTGCAGAGATGAAGCTGGATTGCAGGGTTTTTGAACCTTGGAATACCTGTTTCTCTGGTATTTCTAAACATGCCATTAGTTGACAGCCTAGTTTCTCAACTTAAAATTAATTTTTCAGTCCACTCTGCCTCCTTCCTGAAGATCACAGTAATCTCGATTATTCACATTTGGGATTCATAATGCATATACCCATTTAGGTTATAAGGACGTATAAATGTATGTATGTAGCACAACTTGGAAAAAAAAAGGCACTTTTTT